TGCATTATAAAGCAACAATACCTTATAGTATAACTAATATGATAACAGTACTTGATTAATATGTGATAAAAATAGCTACTTACTGCTTATCCTTGGAAATACAGCTGGTCTATATNTATTGCGTACTAATAATAGATAGACAGACTAGATAGACAGGAGCTCCAGTCAGTACTAGTATCAGTCCTAATAATATATACCACCTCTCTACTGATACAAACACTAATGGAACCGTTATTAGGAAGAGGGCGGAGCATATCATCACCATGCGAACGGGAGTCCATACCTGAGAGAGAGAGAGCAGAGGTATTTTAAAATATGTACATAATTATGTTTACTAAAAGAAATGGATAATGTACATGTACATGTACATAACAAAAAAGTGACAGTGATATGATTACGTAATTTCAGAGTCAGAAATTTCTAAAATCATTTCATTTCATTCATGAGTAATGGTTCAAAATGGAAGGTTTCTCTCAGTAAATAGCTTTTAAATTGCAAAATTCGCCAAATCTTAGCCCCTCCCCCAAATTATACCTGCTATAGGCAATATCAAGAGTATATACACATGTACATGTACAATAAACAGCAAGTACATTAATACATATGTACATGTACATGTGTATGCATGTACATGTACTATGTCATTAGCATAATGATGTGTGTACAATGAATATAAAAAATAAATATATAGGTACATGACAGAAACGTGTTCTGCTAAGTATAATTGTTAAACAATACACTATAGCTACTGCTTATTCTTGTAGATCTTAATACAACCTGTCTATATTTATTAGCTTGAGTTCATGTTCTTGCTAATACCAGTATATCATTCATTTTTGTTTAAGTTTCTATTGTAGTAAAGTATGAAATGACCAAATTTAGTCATAATAGATAATTGTAAATGTTATATAAACGATGTGTACTATAAGTTTATTTATATCATTCATGCCACAACAGGAATGCAGTTACACATACACACCTACTCATCACCATTAGTAGTGTACATATCATTTATGTGATAAAATTCAAGTATAGTCTCTTTCGCACTTTTTACTATTCCTCTCTCTTTCTTACATCATATTATGCTCTAATTTTTTCACTTTCTTTCTCCAATTATTCTATTTTACTTTTTCTTTTTCATTCTTACTCCTTTTTTCCTTTGCTCTTCCTTCTTGTGAGCACATAGTGTACACTATTATGAACAAAAAATAAAGATAAAAATAATAGGATTGGCACATCACTAAGTAGAATTGGTGTTTTAAATTGATATTCACAGCAATGTAATTATACACCAATCATGTCAGTCCTATACTCTTGTGATGCTAAACTGCAAATCCTACAGTACTCAACAATGTAATAAGGGACCATGCATTATTATCTATTAGTCTATGATGCTATAAAAAGCAATGTTGAGCAAGACTTGTATCATAAGTGTGGGTTTGGAATTCTACTGTTATGCTATCATCATGCTATCGTTCTATAAAAAACTGTTCTACTGTCATGTACATGCATACTATCTAGATCCATCTAGATCTACCAAGCCACAAAAAGGTGGGCAAGGTCAATAAAGTAAAAGAATGCTACTACATTGTTATTATAACAGCCATAGACTTCCCTTGCCAGCTTGCAATACTACTTGAATAATTTCTTAACCTGATACAAGATGATTGATGTCTCTCAATGGAGAGCAAGTATTGGACTATGGAACTACTGTCAAGCTGCTTCCAATAGACCAGCTAATGGCCGCCACTCTCACTCATTCAAAGCTGCAGTAGACAGCAAGTCAGGCAGTACTACATCAGGAGAGAAGACATCTAAACTTCCAGCAGCTCTGTCTCTTATTGCTTTACTCCTCCTCCTCTTTCACTCTCTCTCTTTATTAAGACACATCTTCATGATTCCTCCAACAGGTAAACAACAATTGCAACTTTGTACTTGTACATTTACTGGTATTTTATTATTAGGTAACTGCTACCAAGTGCAATGTACTACTAGTGTTACTGATACTGATACAAATTACCTCCAGTCAGTAGTCTTACCTGGAGGTAGCGGTTCTAACTTGAATTACAATGATCTCTATTTGATTGTTTGTCTACGTATGCTCCTCCTCTTATCAGGAGATGTTGAACTCAATCCTGGTCCTATGATTGATGATCAACCTGATACTACATTATTAACTCAATGGCTTGAACCACTTGTTGATTGGAAACCATTTGCTCTTTCTCTTCCTGGTGGAATAACACAACTTGATGTTGATATAATTAAAAGGAAAGGAAGCTCTTACCTCAGGATGGAGGCATTACATAAGAGATGGTTACAAGTTAATCCTACAGCATCATGGAGAGATGTCATTAATGCTTTGAAACAATGTAAAGAGAATGAACTAGCTAGAACTATTGAAGACAAAGTGACAGATCCCACAGCTGGAAGAAGTACTAATGATGATATGGAAGTCAGTACCAGTGATGCTAATCCTGGTCCTATAACAGGTAAACATACACTTAATACAACACTCATTAACTGATACACTACTGCAGGTAATCCAAAGGATATACTAAGGACTCGTTCTAGTAAACTAATTGATGATATCTCACAAAATCTTTACAAAACAACAACTCAATTACATGCTAAAGGATTGATACCACAACAAGCAGTTGATGATGTACTTGTAATGGGAGTTATGACTGATTATACTAAAGCAATGAAACTGGTGAATGTTATTGAGAAACAGTTGGAATCCTCTCTTAATCCAGAGCAGTATCTTATTGATATATGTCATGTATTAATAAACCAACAACATTGTACACTAACAGATATTGCTACCTCTATATTACACCAGTTAGGTGAGTGTGTATGTACATTATCAGTGATCAATATAGTCATTATATCTCAATACATTAGGTCAGTCTATACCGGATAATGTCACATCCATTAGTTCAATACCTGATGATGTTCAAGGATATGCTGACAATATGAGACAACACTACAAACACCAATCTATTGTTGCTACAGACTGGCCACCAAGAATTGGAAAAGATTTTTTTGGAAGACTAGCACTAGTAGAAAAACAAGACTCCAGCACACAAGCAAAATCAGCTTGGCATCTGCTAAGAGGACAAGTTGATAAAATTGTTAAACTAGCCGAAAACAAGGAGATAAGTGTTGAAGATGTCCTCCAACCCACAGTAAGTTCTCTGTCTCTCAGAGTAGTAATAGATGGTCCTCCTGGTATTGGCAAGACCACACTCTGTCGTAAACTGTTAAATATGTGGTCTAATGGAACATTTGTACACCAACAGTATGACTTGGTACTTTACTGTCCTTTAAGAAATAGCAAGATAGCTACAGCTACTACACTAGCTGACCTGTTTGAGTATAGAAAATATGAAGTTCCCATGGTAGCTGAATGGTTTGAGAAGAGGAATGGAGAAGGATTACTAATAATCTTTGATGGTTGGGATGAACTAAGTGAACAACTCAGACAGTCTTCATTAGCTGCTAGTATCATTCATAGAAAGCAGTTAGACCAATGTTCAGTAATTGTTACCTCTCGTAGCTATGCCTCCTCTTCACTTTTGAAAATCAATACTCTCAGTAGACATGTTCAGGTCATTGGGTTTTCTGAGGAAGAAATAAGAACAGTAATTATACAAACACTTCAAAAAGATATAAAACTAGCACAAGAACTCATTATTGAAGTTAAAAATATTACCACAATATGGAGAGTGCATTCAAATTATCAAACTACTCAAAGCAGTAAGGACTCGCAACTAGCAGTGAAACTCATTAATGATCTTAAAGTACGAAATGATGTCCAATCATTGTGTTATATACCACTAGTCTGTTCCATGGTCATCTTAGTTTATTGTAAGGAAGGAGGACACTTACCAACAACACTCACTCAACTGTATGAGAACTTTATCCTACAAACTATCAGAAGACATGTGGAAATAAAACCAAGACATGACATTGACCCATATACTTTAGGTAGTCTTTCTTCATTACCATCACAATTAGCTAAACCTTTACAAGAGATGTGTCAATTAGCTTATACTAACCTGGCTAATACAAGAATGACATTCTCTTCACATCAACTACAGTCACTGAGTGAGGCAGTCAAGGAAGACTATCTTGGATTGATGACAACATTCACAGAATATGATGAGAAGAAGTATCAGTTCCTTCACTTGAGTATACAGGAATTTTTAGCTGCATGGTGGATAGCTAAGCATGAGAAGAAGACAGAGGAAGTGTTTAAAGATCACTTTGATGATGATCACTTTCGAATGTGTCTGAGGTTTGTGGCAGGTCTAACTCACCTTGAACATGAGAGCTATCGACA